TTGGCTGCTGAGGAAAGGGACGGGTGAGCGTCCCTTGAGAGTTCCTAGGCACTAGAGAGGTGCTTGTCTTGACCCAGTTTCTAGGGAGGAGGGGGCCAATTTTGTCCTCTATTTCCACAGCGTGTAGTGTGGGAGACTGAGCAATGCCCCCCCACAAAGTGCATCCACACCCCAATCCCTGCAACCTGTGAGCATGACAGGTGTAGGTGTTGTTTTTCAGTTTAACTACTTATTTTATTTTTTAAAAAAGATTTCATTTATTTATCTGAAAGAGAGGAAGAGCATGAGCAAGGACGAGAGGGAGAAGCAGACTCCCCGCTGAGCAAGGAGCCCGACGTGGGGCTCGATCCCAGGACCCCGGGGTCATGATCCCGAGCCAAAGGCAGACGCTTCACCAACTGAGCCACCCAGGTGCCCCTTAACTACTTATTTTAATAAAACCAGAATATCTACTACAATAAGCAATTACTAAGGTTACAGTGACTTGAGGAACAATCTTCGCATTCAGCAAGGTTAAGTCCCTCCTTACATGATTTTGGAAACCTTATTTATTAACCGAAAGAAGTTGCTTGCTGATAGGAGTTGCTCACATGCTGTGGCTGAATGTAGAAGTCACTTGTTGTGCCAACACGACAAAGGAAACCATGTGCTTAAGGACTGCGGTGTTTCACCCATTCACTGAACAAAGAATACACACAACTACACAAAACTCACACAGCAAACATCAGAGACCCTTTATCAGTCTAGACACTTCACATTGCTGATGTTGAAATGTTTTATTACTATCTTAAGACAAGTGTATCAAAGGCTTGGCATGATTTCAACTCATATGTGGAGTATAAAAAAAAATGAATACACAAACAAAAAGTAGAATCAAAGCTATAAATATAGAAGAGTGCCTGGGTGGCTCAGTTGGTTAAGCATCTGCCTTCGGCTCAGGTCATGATCCCAGGGTCCTGGGATTGATCCCCGCATCGGGCTCCCTGCTCAGTGGGAAGCCTGCTTCTCCCTCTCCCTCTGCACCTATCCCCCATTCGTGCTCTCTCTCTTTCTTTCAAATAAAGAAATAAAATCTTAAAAAAAAATGGTGAATATAGGTAGTGTTAAGAGTATGCCTGGATGCTTTCCCCTGGGGTGTCGGGGGAGAAGGTCAATAGGTGTTAAGAATAAAATGCTTAAGGGTGCTGGGAAGGGGGCATAAATAATTGGGGGAAAAGTGTTTTGTTTTTAGATTTATTTATTTGAGGGGCGCCTGGGTGGCTCAGTTGTTAAGCGTCTGCCTTCGGCTCAGGTCATGATCCGGGGTCCTGGGATCGAGCCCCGCATCGGGCTCCCTGCTCCGCGGGAAGCCTGCTTCTCCCTCTCCCACTCCCTCTGCTGCTCCCCATGCTTGTGTTCCCCCCCCTCAGTCAAATAACAAATAAATAAATAAAGCTATAAATACAGAGAACAAACTGGTGATTGCCGGAGGTGAGGGGGCTGGGGGGCTGGGCAAAATGGGTGAAGGGGAGGGGGAGGTAGAGGCTCCCGGTCATGGAATGAGTAAGTTGTGGGGAAGAAAGGCAGCATAGGGAGTACAATGCAACGACATTGTAACAGCGCTGGGGGATGGCTGAGGGCAGCTACCTGTGTGGTGAGCCGAGCAGAACAACGAGAGAAGTTGCATCGCTTCTTTGTACACCTGCAACCAACGGAACGCTGCGCGTCAGCTCTACGCAAATAAGAAATTCCAACCAAACCAAAGTGAACAATCCCCTTGGCCTGATTTAACGTCACGTCGCTGATTTTGTTTTTACGAACATCCGCACTTGTGGCCACACCTCCAATGTCAGGCCTGCTTGCTCTGGTGAAAGGGTCTTCGTGGATGAGATTCTATTTGGAGCTTCAGAGGAGGAGGTTACCCTGGATTATCTGGGTGGGCCCTAAAATGCCATCACAAATGTCCTCGCAAGAGGGAGACAGAGGGAGATTTGATCCCAAAGGCGAGAAGGTGATGGGACCACGCAGGCAGAGAGAGCAGTGGTGGGGCCATCAGCCTGGTCGTGCCGGCAGCCCTCGGGAGCTGGAAGACCCTCAGGAAGAAGCCCCGAGAAACTGCTTTCGCACTCCTGGCCTCCACAGCTGTGAGAGAGTGAGTTTCTGTTTTAAGCCACCACTTTTGGGATAATTAGTTACAGCGGCCACAGGAAGCGGACGCGTGTCGTGAGTGTTGTTAATGGCTGAGATGGTGCCGGATGCCGTGGGGACTCATCATAGATGAGGGACATAGCTCTTTCTTTGGAAGTTTCAGCCTCACCCTGCCCCCGGCCCAAGGAGACAGGTTCAACTAGAGTAAGACACCCCAAGAATGGTATAATGAATGGCATCTAAGCTGGGATTGGTCGGGCTGGCTCAGAAACTCACATGGTAAAAGTTAGAAGGTGGGGGTGCCCTCCTGCAGAGGGCACGGTTAGCTGTGGGAACTATGGCAAGAACTGTGAGTGCATAAAGGCCGACCCGCAAATGGTGTTCTTCAGTTGTCCATACTCGGCTAGAGACATCGTGTGATTCTCTGCCTCTTCTATATTTGGGCTTGTTGGACCAGATTGTCTTAATGCCTAAGTTATGTCTTGGCAGTTAACTTGGTAAATTTGGAAGCGGCACTGACTTACTGGCCTCTTTTATACTACTATTATTATTATTTTAACATTCAATGGTCCCACAGTGGTCATTTAAAGAGTTAATGTAGCTTTCCAGAAGTTCTTAACATATTTTTAGCCCTGGAGGAATTTACCCCAATACAATCATGGAGCTATTACTTTTATGAGTGTGATTTTTCTTTCTTACACAAATATTGCATCAACAGTAACATCAAAAATTAGCCACAATCCCACCAACCCACCAATTTTTGTCCATAGTCCTTTCCTGTCTCTGTCCGTTTGCGGATAAAATTTTTGGTCATCTCCATCATAGCTTAGGTGCCCTTGTGTAAACTTTTTTCCCTTCTTGATATTGTAGCAGAAGCATTTTCCATGATGTTGCATTGTGTTCGCTAAATAAAAAAGATGAAGACTGTGTCCAAGTCTTTCACCAACTGAGCCAACAATTATTCTTTTGTGGGGCACTTTAATGGTTTCTGATTTTCGTATTATTGTCGGTAAGGCTGCAGGATGGCCTGGTCTTCATTTTGGGTTATTTACTTAGATAAATTTCCAAGCCTGGCAGAATTTGGTTAAATCCTGTGAAAATGTGTGTGATGTTTGAAATACATTGCCAAATTATTTTTTAACAAGGCTGAACCAATTGAACTTGCCTGACAGCAATGCTGACATGTTACAGTTTCTCCTCATGTTTACCAGCATTAGATGTTATCATTACCACTGAGTTTATTTCATATTAAAGACAAATGCTCGTTGTTTCATTTTGCCTTTCTTTGAGTGCTCTCAAAGGTGGGATAGCTTTTCATGCTTGTCCCTTAAATGTACACATTATCCTCTTCTTTGCTCACTTACATCTTAGGGTCTGGATTTTTTTTTTTCTTTTGTAATCAAGTCGAATGCACTTTTTATACCCATATAAGTATTGATTTTGTCTCCCAGATTTACTACACTTTTTAAAAACCTTTCAAGTCTCCACTTTTCCTTGTTACTCTAATTACACAAGAGTTTAGGGCATAATCCTCATGCTCTGAAATCAAACAGATATGGATTCAAATCCCAGCTCACCCACGCTTGATCTTGGGTAAGATACTTAACATTCCAGAGCCTCCATTTTCTTATCTGTAAAATGGAGACAAGAGTCTCCTCTCCATAGGGTTGTTTTTCTTCTGCAGTCTGCTCTTTTGATTTTTATATCAGTGACTCTCGCTCCCCCTTCACCCCTCGTATAGAAGTTTTACATGTTTACATAGTTGACTCTGTCCGTCTTTTTTGGTTTTTCTTTAAAGTTCCCAGTGAACTGTCTCTGGTGCATGTTCTCAGGATCACAAATGATTACGGCCCTTTGGTGCCCAAATGTGTTCCAGATGGGCAGCGCTCACATGGTAGCATTGGTTCTGAGGCCAGCCTTTCAGCACGTAGGCTCCTCCCGTAATCCAAACGATGGGTGTCTGGACTCGGAAGGTGGAGATTTTCCAGGGCAAAAGGGAAAATGGACAGGGTTACTCAAACCCTGATGGAATTGTCTATCAATGCCCCCGAAAGAAAGTTAATATTGTTCCAGCCATGGGCAAGAATGCCAAGAATGCTTTGTAAAGTTTTATCTTTGCAACTCTCCATTTTAATTACCATCAGGAGGTGACCTACACGCCCGCCAGGGAACTTTCACCCCGCTGTGTGGGCGAGAGCTATGACACACTGGGGACCCGGCCCCTGCTCCCCGCTTCTCCTCCACTCCCTCCACTGTCTGATGATGGGGAGAACGGGCCTTTGGTGCCAGATGCCTCGGCGTTTGGATTCTGTCTCCACCACTCTCCAGGGCTGGCAAGGTCACTCGTGCCCTCATCGAAAACATAGGCATGGATGGTATCTGCCTCAGTGGTTTGGTTGTGGCATTTAAATGAGATGATAGAGCTGGTTAGGGGCTGAGATGAGGGTGAATGTCGAGGCTCTGCCCAGTTCATTATTTGACCATGACTCCTGCTCAAAACCCTTACATGACTCTCAGTTTTATAGCTTGAAGTCCAAACTGTTTGGTTCTTGAGATTTTTTTTCATGATCTGACTCATACTCCTCTTTCCAGTTGCATTTTCGGCTCTGATGCCTATCAGCTGTGTGGTCAGGATCCAGTTACGTAATCTCCCTGTGTCTCACTCTCCCCATCTGTAAAATGGAACAATAACCTCTATCTCATAGGGCTGTTGTGAGGATTAAATCAGCGGCTACATGTAAAGAGCGCAGGAGAGTACCTGGCCTCTAGTAAGTGCTCGATGAAAGTGACCGACTATGGTTATGATTATTTTCGTCTGCATCCCCCCCAGTGCATCCCGGGCCTCATGGCCCCATACCTTTGCAGGTGCTGCTTTCTCTGTGCCTGGGAGTCTAGTCTCTCCCTCTTTGCTGTCTGCTTCATTCCTTCGGGCTCAGGCCATCTATGCTTCTTCCAAGAAGCCTGCCCAGGCTGACTGAAGTGCCCCTCTCTGAGGCCCACCCAGCTGGCCACGCTCATCCGTGGGCAGCAGTGGGCCTAGCACAGGTGCTCAAGTCTGACTTCCGTGCCGGCTCCGCCTGTTGGCATTTTCACCATCTTGGGCAAGTCACTTAAAGTCTCTGTGCCTTGAGGTTCTCGTACACTGGATGCACCAGTGGCTAAATGTTTTGAGGCTAAAATTAGAAGACGTGGGTAAAGAGCTTAGGATAGCACCTGACACATGGTGAGCACACAATACAAGGAACTATTCTTTTTACATAACTTATACTGTACAGATATTATCTGTGTACTTTTCTCCTCCCCCCAAGACTATGAGCACCTTCAAAAAACAGGGACTGCATCTTATTCATCTTCATTCCCAATATCTGGCACATAGCAGGTGCTTAATAAATGTTTGCTAAATGTCAGTAATCCCAAAATGTTTTTTCTTAATTTACTCAGTTTTCTGTTGAGTGAAACCTTTGAGCTGCCAGAAGAAAGCAGTGGCTTGCATCTCAGACGTATTTTAGAGGTGACTTTACAAAGGCTGGTGACTTCTCTGAGCCTTAGTCTCCTCATTGGTAAAATGATGATAATTATATCAACTCCATGGAGTTCTGGGACTACTAGAAATAATGCATGTGAAAGACGTATCATGTTCCTGGATGGAAAAACTGAATCTTGTAACGATGGCAATTCTTTCCAATTAATGTGCTCAAAAATCTCAATGGGATTTTTTTTTTTAAACGCACCAAAATGATTCTCAGTTTATTTGGAAAAATGGCAAAAGAAGATTTTGTAAAAGGAGAATAACAGAGTGAGATTCTCATCAGATGCTGAAATGCATTTGAAAGTTACAGTCACTGAAATGATCTAGTGCTTGAACAGGGATGTCACATAGGTTATTGCGATAGAATAGATCGTTGGAAACCAGTTCCTGGGTGGATGGAACCAGCTGTATGATGAGGAACTACACACAATGGCATGTAAGACTTGGATTTAATCAATAAAAGGTGTTGGGGAAACTGGCTATTTGAAAAAAAAAATGATCATCACCTCACACGATACTTCAAAATAAATTCCAGATGGATTATAGATTTCAACATAACAGATAATAAACATATGAGTAAAAAATAAAAGCTAGAAGGGAAACACATACATATGTTCCTTTTTCATATTTAACTCTGATCCATCTGGATTATTCTCTCCTCACAATAGGAAGCCACTTTCTTAAGACAATGATGGTGGAAGAATCTACACATAAAAATATGACTTAGTGTGATCATATAAAATTCAAAACGATTTTTTACGTTAAAAATCATACAATTTTTAAAAGATTTTATTTATTATTTATTTGAGAGAGCCAGCGAGCACAGAGGGGGAGGGAGAAGCAGACTCCCCGCTGATCAAGGAGCCAGATGTGGGGCTGGATCCCAGGACCTCGAGATCCTGACCTGAGCCGAAGGCAGACGCTTAACCAACTGAGCCACCCAGGCGCCCCGAAAAATCATACAGTTTTTAAAAAGACAGAGGAGGAACGTTAGAACAAATAACGAGGAACGAAACCCCTTCTGCATGTGAGGTTAGTTCACATCAAAAAGAAAACAAAAAATATATACAAATAGCAAATATGAGAAAACAGTTCAACCTCCCTGGAATAGCCGGATAAAAGCACAATTCAGTCTTTATCAGCCCGGTTCCTCTCCCGACCGAGACCAGAGCCGGGAGGACACAGCAGCCACTGCATCCCCTCCGCACCAAGGGCACCCCAAGAGCGTGGGTTTTGTTTTCTTACTCGAGCGGCGGCAAGCACGGGCACAGCACTGTGGGCTGTCAGGGACATCTGGTGGCAAGGGAGCGGTCTGTTGAACCCAGCGGATTCGGGGCTAATCCCAACTTGTTAACTGTGTGACCTGGGGCGAGCCCTAGGGCCTCTCGGAGTTGCTGTACCGCCATCTGCAAACGGGGATCATGACCGCCACTGGCCAGGGTGGCTGCAAGATTTAAGAAAGACAGCGGGTGAATGCACTGAGCACAGTGCTCATTTGGTAGCCACAGGTGTGGCCTGTCCAGAGGAAGGAGGGAACCAAGGACTTCTACCTGCTACAGTCAGAAGGAGTGTGGCCTCCTATCGTTTTGTTTCCCTCCAACGAGATGTCCTGTATTGTGCTACGTGTTAATTGCTTCTGTCTATTTCAAATATTATCATTATTCAAGATCCCTCCTACAAATGTTCTCTTCTTCCATCCTGTATTAAAGCTTGGTAGATAGGTCTTGCTGTCACCATTTTAGGGTTCAGGAAATAGAGGTGTCATGCAGCTGCCCAGATAAAGCTGCAGTCGCAGCCGGACCCTTCTATGCTTCTCTGCACTGATTTCTACACATCTTACCTCAGTGCACATCACAGCAAGCTTTGGAGGTCCAAGTGGTTTTTCCTTAAAGAGGAGGCTTCACCTTCAGGGAGGGAATATGGGTGTTTCCCAGGCTCGTAGAGTAGGAAATGGTAGAAATAGGATTCCACCTTGATCTTGCTGGGTACAAAGCTCATCCAGCTGGGGTTGGAAGCGGTTCCTCAAATCCTGCCTCTTATAATGCCCTACAGTATCTGGAAGGTACAGGTGACAGGTTTTGGGAACTGCCATTCCAGCACAGGGGGCTTTCCTCCTTCCTGCCTAAGACTTCACTCCTAGAACTGCCCGGAGTGAGTGTCAACCAACATGCATTGGCCGGATGAGTGAACAGATCAACGGAGATGTAGGGAAATGCCTTTCATGTGCAAAGCAAAGATTTACTGAGCCTGTGGCCATTCCAAGAAGAAAATCAACACGGGAGAAAAAAGCCTATTTCACCAAAGGTGCTGTTTTAAAAAAAGTTTGACACTAAAATAGAACTCTCTAAGCACTAGGTCTTAGGCGCTGGGCTTGGGCACAGCTGCAGCCTGAACCCAGCTTTCCTGGAGAGCAGATGTCAGGCTAACCACTCCGTCTGTGCCCTTGGACTCTGGCCCAAGCTTACAGGATGCTTGAGTTAATTCAGGATGCCCTAACAGACATTCCCTAGGCAGTGTTTGGGATCTGGGCAGGGGCCCCATGGCCAGATGCCTTGGCAAGGTGCGGGATTTAAGGCCTGAGTGGCTGGCTGAGATGATGGGTGCTATGAAACATTGGAAAGGTCTGTCCCAGCCACATATCACCATTAGACAATGGGTCGGGATTCCTCCTCTTCCTGCAGAAAACAAACAGAACCAGGAAGGCCTGGCTGTGCAGACTGAAGGAGTGGGCAGCCCTGCCCCTCAGCTGCACCTCTTCTCCCTGGAGGAGCCCCAGGCCTGGCTTCTTGTTCCTTTCTTGCCCGTGCAGCCCCGGGTGTAGCACCGCCCACCGCAAGCCAACGTTGGGCCATCTTGGGGAGAACCTTTGGAACCACTGATCCGTAATAAGCTTGGACATTGTAGACCAAATCAAACCCCCTCAGAGGAAGACAAAGGAGGAGAGAGCTAGCCCTTAATGAGTGCCAACCATGCGCCAGCTGATCTAACCTGCAATCCTTTGGTTGTTCTCACTATCCTTCAAGCACCTACTGTCCCCAGCTTTGGGGCTAGCTGCATGCGGGGAAGTCAGAGCTAGGAATAGATCTCCTCCCCAGAGGAAGCAATGCAGGAGTCAGAGATTTGGGCCAGGCTAGAGTCAGGCTTCAGCCTGGCACACAGGCCCCCAGTGACCCACCTTCTGCTGGCCCCCACTTATTCCTCTCATACCCACTCACGGCCACCTGTTGTTGAAAGGGCTCCTGAACTGTCCCCATCTTCTGGGCATGTTGTGTAAAGCCCAGCCCCAGTTCACAAGCGCTGCTCACCACTGTAGGGGAAGGCTTCCTATGCTCAGCTCCTCTGCCCCCAGTCTTGCTAAGACTGTCATCCTGTCATTGATGACCTCACAGTTGCCAAAATGGGAAGATTTTTTTTCTCCTTTATGACAGTTAAAATATGGTTTATCTTATCATGGAAAGAAAAGATAAAATTGCAAAATTCTCATCAAACTCCTGTATACCCAGGAACAAGCCCTCGTCTCCAACAAGCATTTGCCCCGCGTAGCCATGTTGACAGATTGTCCTCGATCCCCCTTTCCTTCGGGGCTGGGCCATGGGGGGTGCACCTTGCATCTCAGATTCCTCCCGTGGCCCACACAGAACTGGACCCCGAAGCGGTGACCGATGCACACACGTGCAATGAGCCACGAAAAGGAGTGAGTGAACGACCACATCTAACCCCTGTGACATGACTTGCCTGAGGGCCATGCCCAGGTGTCCTGACTCCTGGCCCAGTACCAGTCACACACCACAGGCCCGCATGGCCTCTGTCTACCTTTCTACGGGTGCACTCGGTTAGGCCGTTTATCTCCCCAGGTTCCCCGTGCACCTCGGAACAGATATCCAGTGAAGTAATAGCCGGCTCTGACCCAGCCAAACCAGCTTTCCCTGAGAGATTGTTCTTCTTTCTCTCTTCTCCTTTATGTTTAATTTTGTTATTTTTCATGACAGCTCACATTATAAACCAAGATTAAAAGCATATAAATGAAAACATGTTCTACATAGCGTCACAGCATTACCATAAACACCTTTTACTGTAGACAAATTAGTCGCTAGATTCAGGAACTGAAATTAAACTTCTGGAAATCTCTGTTGTATTTGAAGACGAGGAAGGTTTTAGAATCAATAAAGATTTTATCATAAGCCTAGTATCAGCTCTCCTTCACTAGCAATTAATGTTCTAAAGGAGGGAGGGGCCAGATGGTCTCTGAGTACCTACTGTGTGCTGTGTTTGCTGCATGTCTCATTGTGTGGCAATGACAAAGGCCCAGGTGCCTGCAACCAGGATGATCTGAGCTCAGATGCTACCCCTCCCACTTCCCCGCCAGGTAACCTTGGACTATGACCTTATCCCTTGAAACTCTGAGTCCATTTCTGTGAGATAGGGAAGACCATCCTGACCTCGTTCAGCTGCTACTGGGAGGATTAATTAAAACAAGGTCTGCAATGGGGCTACTACACACATATATTAAAAGTGAAATAAATAGTAATCACTCATAATAATGGTATTATTCATCTGACTCAGCCAGAAAAACTATTTTGCCAAAGTGAATTTGAACAAATGAGTGATTTGGTTGAAAAGATGTGCTGGAAAGCTGAGGGGCTAACAAGACAACATAACTAAAACAAAAATTTGGTTGAAAATGAGTATCTCCGATAGTTAGCTTCTTCTTCTTCTTCTTCTTCTTTTTTTTTTTAAGAGAGGGAAGAGGGGGAAGGGCAGAGGGAGGGTGAGAGAGAGTATCTCAAGCAGGCTCCACGCCCAGCACAGAGCCCCACTCGGGGCTCCATCTCACAACTCTGAGATCATCACCTGAGTGGAAATGGACAGTCAGGAACTCAACCAACTGAGCTACCCAGGCGCCGTACCAATAGTTAGGTTTCAAAACGTCACATACAAATTTGTCTTCCTTTACGCAAAGCATTTCTGGATTTTTTTTTCCATAGGGTTTTCTATTTTATTTCTACATTATTTTCAATAATTTTTTCTTGCCCTTCACTATAATAGGGAAAGGTTGGGGGCACAATAAATATTCATTAATAAAAGAACAAACCAAATGGCCAAGAAAAGAGGAAATCATTGAGATGAATTCTTGTGCTATGGTGTTTTAAGTGAACTATGGGATGTTACAAAATAGTGGGTATGGCAGGAGCTCATTTTCGTAGCAAAATATTGTGTCTGGGCAAAAGGGCATGGTTACGTCTGTATCACAGGATGGGGGGTAGGTGGGAAGGAAGGAAGACTATGGGGGCTCTTTATGTGTTTATTTTGCTTCTCTATGTATATATTTTACTATTTCTGAGAGGAGAATGCATCACATTTATACTAAGAAAGAAACTAAAAGAATAAGCTCAAACTTTTTTCAGTCTTCAGTCAAATAACTTTTTTTTTTTTTTTTTTTTTTTACTTAAACCTATTTTATTTGTTTCAAGCCACTTCTGCCCTTTCGGGTTTTGTGATATATTTCAGAGTTGGAGCGCAACGAGGTTGAGGTTGTTCCCCCATCTGTGCAGTGGGGGTAGTAGTATCTACCTTGAAGAGTGACTAGAAGGATTAAGTGAGATGTTTTTTATAACATTTTGCGCACAGTCCGAGGCACAGAGTAGGTCTGCAATATGCAACAATTCAATGGTGTCTTTCTTATGGACATTTGGTGGGTTCTAACAAGTCTTTGTTTCTCACATTTAGTTTGTGTCTTTTGCCACAGGTTGTTGCAGAGAGTTCCTCCGGGTGAATGTAGAGGTGTTCTCCTACCGCCCTTATTTGCATGCCTGTGACACCAGCCCTACTGCGTATCACAGTTGTGACCCTCCACTCCTATCCCCCCCCACCCCCATTCCAGGCTATTCTGCACACAGCAGCTGGAGCTGCTCCTTTAAAAATTTAAGTGGATCACATTGGTTCTCAGACCTCCAAAGGCTCCCCATTATATTTAGACTGAAACCGAGGCCGACTGTGGCCTATGATCCCTTGTGCCACTAGGCCCTGCTGCTTCTTCAGACTTATGTCCTGCCTTGTTCTCACTCGTTCACTATGGACCACCCACACTGGTCGCCTTGCTGTTGTCAAACACACCCAGGCTGTTCCACCCCAGGGCCTTTGCACATGTCACCTGCTGTGCTAAGAAGCTCTTGCCCTGGAGGCATGTGTGGCTCTCACTAAGTGCATTGAGGTCTCTGCTAATTGTCACCCCTTTAGCTAGGCCTTTCTGGATCCTTTTGCTGCTCTTTCTTCATGGCATTTACACACATTATTCAATAGTTACATGTCTGTTCATCTGATGCTTCTCCTCCCACTGAAATGTGGGCAGCCTGATGGAATGGACTTTGTCAACGTTGCTCACACTTGAATGCCCACCCGGACGTTAGAGGAATACCCATCATATTGGACTCCCAGTAAGCATTTGTTGAATGGATGAGTAAAACAAATGAGTTAAGTGTGACCTTAATATTCATCACAAGTAAGTACAAATGATCTCCTGAAAATGGATGAGAAATAAACATACTTTTCCCCCCAAAAGAGAAAACAAACCCTGTAGCATAGTTGAAATTCTTAGAGAATTTCAACCGGTTGCCAAACCACCCAATTCTGCACCAAAATTAATAAGACTTGACAAATGGCAAATAAGAATTTTCATTTTTCAACCCATCAACATTCTGCCCAGTTATCAGATTAATCAACTTACTTGTGGCCAATTTTTTTTCCCAACCAAGTCACCAGGGATCAGCATGGTAGGCATGGTAGGAAAATAGGACACATTTGGGGTCCCTGGGAGAGCCTAACTCTGCTTGACCCCCCCAGAGGGGCAAACCCCGATTCTCCAGTTCTAGGCATCAGGCTGTGTTTCTATAGGAAAACCACCTTTTCCTCCCCACCTCGCCCCCCCTGGGGTGTCCCAGTCCAGAAGGGCCTCTCCCCTCCCGGAAGCACATAAGGCCCCTGTAGCTACCCGTCTGGGACCACGTGCTTTCATTCACACATTCAGAATAACAGGGATAATATTCTGTTGGAAGAAGAAAGGAGAGAGTGAGGGAGGGTCTTCTGATCCAGTTTCCACTGTGTATTTTGGATGTGTGTGTGTGTGTGTGTGTGTGTGTGTGTGTGTGTGTGAAAAAGAGAGACATAGAGATAGACAGAGAGAAATTGAGAGAGAGGGGGATCGCCAGTGTGTTTATGCATAAGAGTCACGTGTGTTTCTGTGTCTGGCTCTGTGCATCGAATGGTTGTCTGTTTATTATCTAAGTACCTCTGTGTGTGGCTGTGTCTAAGAGTTTGTGTCTGTCTGCTTGCCTGTGCGTCCCTTTGCGGAGCTCTGCCTCTGTCATTATGTGGACTGTGTGTGATCTTCTACCAGTATGGGGGGTGCAGGGGTCATCGCGGCAGACACATGGTGTGAGCGCTGCCTTCTCCTCTGTGAGCCGGTACCCTTCAGGGAGCTTGTGCTGGTTTGGAAGAAGCTGGGAAGAAGGACAAGACGGCCCACGATATCAGCCTTGAGGAAGAGAGGAGGGGCCTGAATCAAAGGCATCAGAACTGGATGCAATGAAATAGCTAACCCTGGGCCAGGTCCACCCAGAGCCCTGCATGTAGCAATCTAGGCTTCTGAGTGCAGCCCACAGGGCCTCTCAGTTGGCCCCTGGTGATCTCTCACTGCCCTCCTTGTGCTTTCCACAGTTCCCAAATGCCCCCTGCTCTTCCTGCCTCAGACCTTTGCTCTGGCCATTCTTTCTTCCTTCAGGACTTTGCTGGGACACCTCCTCCAGGAAGCCTCCCTTGACCATCATGGAAGAGCTAGCTAGCCTCCCCGCCTCGGTCCCCATAGGGCCCCCACACACCTCCATTTGGCCACTCCCGTCCTTCAGTTGTACGTTTCACCTCCAACAGGCCTAGGAGCGCTCTGAGCACAGGGACCTGGCTTATCCGATTCTGTACGCCCAGTACCCAGCACGAGGCCTCACCTGTGCAGAATGGGTAAGTGCCACAGAGTGGGGTTGAGCCCAGCAGACCCGGGAGCCAGCCCTGAGCTGTCGCAAAATGACGTGACCCATCTTTTCTGCTTCTTGACAAATATCATCTCCCTCATGTCATCCCCAGGATGGGGAAGTGGGAGAACATGGGAGCAACCTGTGGCTCACACAGAACCTCAGGCGATGCTTCTCATTCTTGTCCGAATAACTTAAACACGATAAACGTTTTTTCCTCTCTCTCTCCAAGCTACTCCTTAGAAGAGAGGGAGTTGTCTTTCATATAGCGCTCTTACAAAGTGTCTC